CTAAGAATGGTTAAAATCAATTTTGTTATGTATATTTTACCACAATAAAAAATAAAATTTTTTAAAATTGAAAAGCAGCACAAAGAAGGTGAGAGGTAACTAGGGTAACCAGAAATCTTTACTAGGGCTTAACAATGGACCCAAAGGCCCAGTTTGCAGGTACTTGTTTTTAAAGGAACAAAGTTGGGATGTTAAATATCTTTATAAAGCACAGCAGATATGTCTGTACATTATATACATTTAATAAGAGAATGGGATTTTTTTTTTTTTTTTTTTTTTTTTTTTTTTTTTTTTTTTGTCTGACATTTCCGTCCCGGTTTACATCTGTAATTGGTGTGCAAAGTCAAAGTCATTAGGCCTGTGTTGTGTTAAAAGGAATTAAAAAAAAAAAAAGAGCTGTGATTATTTTGAGTCTAATTTACCATGTGCTCCCCTAGATTATTAGTTCCTTGAGAGGAGGAGCTGTCTTTGCTCATATGTGTAATCCTAGCACTTGCTGGCGGTAAACCCTGGTCCATGTTTTGAACCAATGACTGTGGGCAGTCAGCAAAGTTGTCTTTGTTGTTGTTTTCGCATAACTGGATTTGCAATGTAGGTATTAGAAGCAATGTCTAATTGCTCAGACAGTATGGCACTGGAACAAGAAAAATAGAAAAGAAACTCAAAGCGATAAAGTTGGGAGGGGGGGGATTGTAAAGATTTATCCTATAAATTTTAGAAACATTTCACACCGTTTAATCAGCTTTTATAGAGGAGACAGAATCGTTTTATAGAGATTAGAGTATAATATGTGAATTATTTTTAATATTAGATAGTACCTGTTGGCTCCTTCAGTAGAGACCTCAGGGAGGTCATTAGCTGTCACTAGAGACCTTGCTTATCAGAGATTGCAGCCATTATTCAAACTGCTGTAATTTATGCGTTCTAAATTTTCATGCATTCATTCACCAAGGACCAATCACCATGGATTCCTAATGGAAAGGAAGGTAAGGAAAAATTTCTTTTTATGTTGTATGTGCTTCTTTTCTCCTTTCTCCCTCCCTTATTACCTCCTTCCTTAGTTCCTCTTGCATCACTATCTGTGTTTTTAGGACAGACCTGTAATTAGAATAACGAAGTTTCCATGCTTAAGCTGCGTAAGGGAGAAAAACATGTCCCTGGGGACTGATGATTATGAAGCACTAAGAGGCAATTCAAGGACTAGAAATTTGGGGCAATATTTTCTCTAACAAAAATGACCTTATTCAAACAAAGATATTTTAAACTTTTATAGGTGTATAGATGTAAAAATTTTCAAAAGTCCCATCGTGCTACTGTCTGAACCAAGGAATATAGGAAAAGAGTGATAGAGCAGAGGCATCCGCATAGAAGCCTAACTTGGATATTAAATACAGGGATAGAAGGAAAGGAATGGTGTGTCAGTTTATTGATTTTATTTTTCCTGGGCCAGCTGTGGTAGAAGGACGGAGGAGAACATACACAAAGCAAACAATTCTTTTGAATATATGGGCGGCTGAAATACCTGTAGGGCGTAAAATATTTTACTGCTAAAACTAAAAACTGAAAATTTCTGAAACGGGGAGACTTATGGTACAGTAGCTAAATACTGTAATAATAAGCACAACTAAATGAAATATTATAGGCCCAGATAGATGAATTCATTCTTTAATTTTTCAACATAAAAGTTCAAAGTTCTCCAGATTTAATTCAAAATCTCTAGGATGAATAAGCCAGTATAGATTTTCCAATTATATTTCAAAAGACAATAAGCCACTGCCTTCACATATATATATCCAAGGAGGAGGAAAAAAGGAAATAACCAGAATCATCAGGAAAAAAATAACATGAAACATAACTGTGATTCTTTTAAAACTTCTTTTTTTTTTTTTTAATTTTTTTTTTCAACGTTTATTCATTTTTGGGACAGAGAGAGACAGAGCATGAACGGGGGAGGAGCAGAGAGAGAGGGAGACACAGAATCGGAAACAGGCTCCAGGCTCTGAGCCATCAGCCCAGAGCCCGATGCGGGGCTCGAACTCACAGACCGCGAGATCGTGACCTGGCTGAAGTCGGCCGCTTAACCGACTGCGCCACCCAGGTGCCCCTTAAAACTTCTTTTAAAAGCATACGCACACTTTATATTTTTTGGCCTTGTTACTGTATTTATTATGAAACCTCAAATATATGTTAACAAATTTAGCTCTTTTTTTTTTAGAGTATTGCCTTATTTTACTGAAAACCATGCATATTTGTTATTAAAAAATCAAGTTCTATTCAACAACTACAACCAAGCCAATTTAAAAACGGGCACATGACTTGAATAGACATTTCAACAGAGAACATGTACAATGACCAACATAAGCACATAAAAAGACACTCACCGTCATCAGTGCTAGGGAAATGAAAATCAAAACTGCACTGAGGCACACTTCACACCTGTTAGGATGGCTATTATTTGAAAACAAAAAACAAAACAAGTGTAGGTAAGGATGTAGAAAGAGTTGAATCTTGTGCTTTGCTGATGGGAATGTAAAGTGGTGTAGCTTCTGTGGAAAACGGCTTGGGAGTTCCTAGACAGTGGTGGTGATTACACTAAACTGCACACTAAAAATGGTTAAAATGGTAATTTTTATGTCATGTATATTTTACCACAATTAAAAAACTAAAAAAAAAATAAAAAAAAAAAGTAGGAAAGCAACTACAAAGAAGAGGTCAGCAAATTGTTTTAAATCCAACTTTCTAGAAAGAACCCATGTTAGCATTTGGTAGTCCTAATACTTTTTCTGCACTTTAAACTTCTTGTTGTGAGATATTTCAGAAATCACCTCTATAGAAAGTATAATTTTTTTTTAAATGAATGCTTATTAATTTTTGAGAGACAGAGACAGCATGAGCGGGGGAGCAGCAGAGAGAGAGGGACGCACAGAATCCGAAGCAGGCTCCAGGCTCTGAGCGGTCAGCACAGAGCCCGCTGCGGGGCTCGAACTCACAACCCGAGAGATCATGACCTGAGCCGAAGTTGGACGCTTAACCGACTGAGCCACCCAGGCGCCCCTCTATAGAAAGCATAGCTAGTAGTATTAGCAACACCTATGATCATAGACATGTTGATTTGTTGAACGTGAACTATGACCGAGGCATGAGTAGACGTGCTGTGTGCCTGCAAAGTTAACTAGCCTGAGTAGGACTCAAACTTGCAACTGTGGTCTCATCCAGGATGACCTCACCAAGCCACCCTAGCCAGAAAAGTGATCATGAAATGAAAGTGGAAACTGTGAAAAGTCACGGATCACATCATGACATGTATATGTGATCAGTGCCATTATTCTCTGCTTATGTTATTTGGTAGTACTATTTATCTTAATTTGGTCTAATCCTAAGTGTTATCATGAATGTTTTCCTTTTATTCTATTTCAAGTGTTTCTGGATATATATAACATTATAAAAGAATATGGAGAATATTTGCTTTTCTAGATCACTGTGGTATGTTTTTAAAAGAAAAGATGTAATTAAAATCAAGTTAAATCCCTGCTGCAAATTAAGTAAAGTTTACAAAGTCAAGGGGCATTTTGTTCCAGTTTGAACTCTGTCATTACCTTTCTTGTAACCTTAGATGAAAACAGCTTCAGGGCGCCTGGGTGGCTCAGTCGGTTGAGCGTCTGACTTTCGGCTCAGGTCATGATCTCACAGTTCGTGGGTTCGAGCCCCGCATCAGGCTCTGTGCTGACCTCTTGCTCAAGGCCTGGAGCCTGCTTCAGATTCTGTGTCTCCCTCTCTCTCTGCCCCTCCCCTGCTCACGCTTTGTCTCGCTCCGTTTCTCAAAAATAAATAAATGTAAAAACAAATTAAAAAAAAAAAAAGAAAGAAAACGGCATCATTAAAGCCCAAATAGCAGTTACCTATTTTGGGTATTTTACAGTAAGGCAAAGGTAATATGAAGAGTTGGAATATCCAATCAGATGACCAAAATGCAATTATTTTTTATGTCTCTTTCTTCACCTCCTCAACTTTCAGTGCACATTTATTCAGCAATTATCAATGAAGAAAGCCTGAATTTCTAACCTTGCTCCACCATTTATTAATTTTGTGATGAATTCTTAACCTTTCTCAGCCTTCATTTCCTCATCTGTAAAATAAACATACTAATAGGGCCAACTTCATAGACTTTTTATGAGAATTCAGTGAATGGAAACAAATCCTTAAAACAATGTGTGCATATAATAAGTGCTGGATAAATACAAGCTAACTTTTACTATTATTGCTGTGATGATGACATACGTACTGTGTATTCAACCCTAGAGTAAATATTATGAGAGCTAGTAATACAAAATACTTCCTTATCTCAAAGAATTTGTTTCTTTAGAGTAATATCAGAAATCTGAATTTGCATCCCCTCATGAGTGTGAGGCCCCAGCCAAGTGGTCCCCCTAGCTCTCTTGGCTCTGAGATAGATCCTGATAAAATTTCTGAAATACATTCAAGTTTAGTTGAAATCACAGAAAAGACCCAACAGTTGGAATGGGGGGGAGGGGGGGGCGAAGGAAAACTACACAGAGATGAAAGGACCTGAACTGAGCCCTAAAAGATAGAATTTACAAAGGCTGGGGGACACCTATCCCCCCGCCCCTCCCCACCCCCCTACCATGTGCTAGGTAGGCATCAGACTACATACTCCACAGTCTTTCTCCACATTCCTCATGACAGTCCTACTGGGTCACATAGCTACTAGTTGCCAAATCAGGGATTCAAACTCTTAACCTAAGTCCAAAGCCTTTCTTGTTTTCATGCTGTGCTGATGCTTTGATAATTAGAGGTTGTATTACTTTCTGTCTTGGCCAGTTAGAGGCCTCTAAATATCCCATTCGTTTTTAGTGAAAAGTTTTTGTGTGTTTTTACTGATTTTTTTCCCCATAATTTTCTTATCTGCACAAATGCTGAATTGTATATTTGCTTTTTCATTTAAGTTTTGCTGACTTCTGTTCTTTCATAACTTAACTCAGGTGTAATGTCTTTGCTGAGGCCTCTTCTTCTGGATGTGGTCCCAACAATTCAACAGACTGCTGCATTGGCTCTTGGGAGACTGGCTAATTATAATGGTGACCTAGCAGAAGCAGTCGTGAAGGGCGACATTCTTCCACAGCTTGTTTATTCATTGGCAGAACAGAATGTAAGACTTAAAAAAAATAAGTTATGCGTATTTTTTTTAGATTTAAAAGATCTGCTAGTTTGGGCACAGTTGCAAGCTTGTGGGCATTAGAATTTTAGGACGTTAATATAACCTTCAATTCTTTGAACTGCACATAAATAATACCTTTAGGGTATTTTACTTTGGAAGTGACGGGCAGTTTTTCTCCCATTACTGTTAATATAAGAAAACAGATTACACAGTTTTTAAACAAATTGTATATAAGGCAGTATTTCTGTGTATGGGAGTCTTCAATTTGTAGGATCAGTCTTAGGTGCATGGCCCCCTAGGCAAATGGAAAGTTGTTTTCAGCAATCCTTACATGCAGATGAAATCTAGTTAGTGGACACTGTAAGAGACAGCTTGGAAGCAGGGGGATAGAAGCATACAAAATGAAGGAGGATATGTGTAATGGAAAGTTTGATAAAGCATTTTATAGCAAGTATGCAAACATGTCAGTCCTTTTCAGGGTCATCTATGAGTGCCACAATGTTTTCCCTCCTATCTTGTTCTGTACTCTGCCACCTGATAATAGTTAAGGATCTTTCTATAGGTAGGGTCTTGGTATGTTTATTCCATTTTGTTAGTTTCTTATAACCTAAGGATATATATTTCTTTTTTTTAAAGTTTATTTCTTTATTTTGAGAGACAGAGAGAGAGAGAGAGAGAGAGAGGGAGAGAATCCCAAGTAGGCTCCGTGCTGTCAGTATAGAGCTTGATGCAGGGCTCTGAAATCAACAACTGTGAGATCATGACCTGAGCCAAAAATCCAGAGTCAGATGCTTAATGGACTGAGCCACCCAGGTGCCCCAGGATATATATTTCTTGACACATTTTTAAGATTCAATTCCTATGCATATAACCAAAACAAACCATCCAATTTAAAGATGGGCAAAAGACTTGAACAGACATCTATCCAAAGAAGACATACCGTAGCCAACCAACATGAAAGGATGCTCAGTAACATGAGTCATTAGGAAATGGAAATCAGAACCACGGCAAGATATCACTTTACCTATGAGGATGGCCATAAAAAAAAAAAAAGGAAAAGAACAGAACAAGTGTTAATGAAGATTTGGAGAAATCGGAACCCTCACACATCGCTGATAGGAGTGTAAAATGGTGCAGCTGCTATAGAAAGCAGTCAAGCAGTCAAGTTAAACCCAATTACCACATGACCCAGCAATTCTACTCCTAGTTAGATTTCCAAAAAAAAATTGAAAACAGGTGTTCAAACAAAACTTGTACACAAATGTTGATAGCAGCGTTATTCACTAGAACAAAAGAATGACTAGATAAACAAAATGTTGTACATCCATATAATGGAATATTATCAGTCATAAAAAGGGATGAGGTATCGATACAGGCTATAACATGGATAAACCTTTGCTCTAAGAGAAGGAAGCCAGACACAAAAGGCTACGTATTGCATGACTCCGTTTATAGGAAATATCCAGAATATGCAAATGCATAGAGACAGAAGCAGATTAGCAGTTGCCAGGGGCTGTGGGGACAGGGGAATGAGGAGTGGCTCCTTAACATGTATGAGATTTCTTGTTGGGCCGAGGAAAATATTCTGGAACTAGATGGTGATGTTTGCACAACACTGTGACTGTGCAAAATGCCACTGAGCTTTACACTTTAAAATGGTTCAAATGGCAAATAATATGTGTATTTTATCACAATAAAAAAATAAATCCCAATTGTTCACATTTTTGCCTTATTTTTTAGAGACTGGAGACTCATTTCCTGCTTGTCTTATCTCTACAAGGAGTCTCAGAAATTTTGTTTTTCCTACAGGTGTTCCTTCTGTCATCAAACACTGTTAGACTTTGTTCTTCCTGGATTCTTGGCTCCTTCTTTTGGGGCAGGGTCTGTGTTTTGGTATCCCACAAAGAAGGTCCTCAGTAGAAGTTTTCTAGATGCGAATGAACGTGCACTAACTGTAAAGCGACAAAAAAGTGCCAGGGCAGAGGTGAGGAGAAAGTGAGAATGTGAAGCAGTATTCACTTCGCCTACCAGTCCTTTACTTCTCACAGGGTTTAATCTCTTCTTTATGAGGTACAAAGTCCTCTGGTGTAGCTTTTTTTTTTTTTTTTTTAAGGCAATTCTTTTGGTGAGGAATGGGAGAGAAGAGAGAGGAATTTGGAGAAGCGGAAATTAGGAGAAAGGGGAAGTGAGATCAGAAGGTGTGAATTATAGGCACTGTGGTTAGCAGTGACTATCGATGCCCTAATAAATCTATTAATTAAGTATAATGTATTATTTCGTAATCTATAATCTATTTTACAATCAGTCACTGACATAAAGTTGGACTTTATAACACATTTTAATCTCTCTCTATGTTAACCTTTAAGAAACTAAAGAAAGATAGGAAATCAAAACATCCTTATTAACATAGCATGTTTCTTATATCATCAACATAGGCCAATGTTTGAAAGATAATATGTTAAAATATACTTGGTATATTTTCTCTCTCTCCTATCATTTTTATTTTATCTTAATCTTTTAGCCTAAGTAAATAGCAGGCTTTCAAAACAGGTGCTGTAGTCACCTGGTCACTTTCAGTAGTCACCATAAAGAAATAGAAACTTGGAATCCAAAACAGGGGATTACCTGGGTTCTATTCATAGAAGAAAGAGACCATTAATGTGTCATGCTAACCATGAAACAACAGTGAGTGTTACAGCCAAATACTTCCTATACATTTAAATTTTTTAGCTATATGAAGAAAAACGTTAGCCTTGTGTTTCAGTTTTATTTTATGATTTCTTAATCTGATAAAATTTTATATAGAAAATATTACAAATATGAAGCATTACGTAAAATTCACATAATACCAAGTCATTTGTATTTATCACTAAAAAAAATATATATATATATATTTTTTTTCTCAGAGGAGATAAATCACACATCCTCTTGTTTGGCTAGTTTATTTACCAGGAAAAGTTTTAAAATGTATCACGAGTGTTTCACCTTTATGTTTATCTGATGATTGGTAAGTGCATCCCAGACCATGGTTGTTATTTCAGGATAATTTGGGACACCAGAAAGATTAGTTGAGGTCATGAAAGGCCTACCACGCTTAGAGACTGAGGGCAAGTAAAGGAAATGAATTTGTCAGCGGACATTTTTGTTGCACATGCTAACAATCTAAGAGTTCCCCTGGGTCAAACAACTACTTTTCAGTGTAATGCAGATACAGAAAATCTCATCATTTTAGGCATTTGTAGGAAATACAATGTTTATGTTTTCTTTTATACAATTTCCAAATGCATGTTGCAGAATAAAACATTTGAAACGAAATTTAAGACTTAACGTTGTTTCAGTTTAGCACTGAACAAAAAGCAATCGGGGAACACCAAAAGAGTGACTTTGCAGGATGTTTTTTATCTGTTGTATTCAAAAGCTGTTGAGCTTTATTTAATGTCATTTTTATGTTGGTTTTCGTCTATTTGAACTTTTGGTTTAATAAGCGCTTCATTCACTGTAAGTTTTATCTGCTTTATCATCGTAGCGTTTTTACAAGAAAGCAGCCGCCTTTGTGCTACGAGCAGTGGGGAAGCATTCTCCTCAACTAGCTCAGGCGATCGTGGATTGCGGAGCCCTGGACACACTGGTGATATGCCTGGAAGATTTTGACCCTGGAGTCAAGGAAGCTGCAGCCTGGGCACTGGGTTATATCGCAAGACATAATGCAGGTAACGGAGCATATTTGAAAACAGGATTACTAACATTTCGATTTTTTTAGGGAAATCGGGTTTTGCAGTTTTAATGATGTTTCCATACATTATGGGAGATAGGTTTTGAATGACGGCCAAGTTGTTCAGGTCATAAATTCACGAAAAACCTACCCATTTCAGTCTTTACTCCAGTCAGCTGAAGAGCAGTGTGAGGATGGAAAGAGGGAGCGGGGAATGAGGAGAGTGAGAGATTGACAGATTCTCAAAGACCTTGGTAAATTGGTTCAGTGAAAAAATTTTAGTTTGTCATCCTTCAGGGGGTTTTGGATCTTTACTCTCTCTGATGATAGGGGTGCTCCAAACTAGGTGGGGGACACATTGTGTGAATGAGTAATGTTGAAAAGATATGGACATGATAACTTTCTAGAACATATGTGTATTGAGCCCATATTGGGCAGGAAGGAGGGGAAAGAGAAGTACTTTCTCTCATAAACTGACAGCTTAATGACATCATCAAGAAGGGGGCTGGACCTCTTCTGTGAAGTTTATGCTGACAGACCCGATGGGTGAAGATTATATGGGGAGTAAAATTGCCCCCACCACTTTCCAGAAGATGCTAAATAATATGAACAAATAATACAACAAGAAAACACAGTCTTAAACATATGTAAAAATGAGCAACTTCTCTAGTAGTCAGAGAACTGCATATTAAAACATCAATGAACATGTCTTTTCCCAGTTATTATTACTTAGGGAGGGGAAAAGAGTAAATCAGAATTACAGCCAAATGGTCAAGAGCACTGTGGCATTAGACAGGATCTGAGTTTGAGTCCAAGATCTACCATTTAGTTTCTGCATGACCTTGGACATGGCTTTTAAATTTTCTGAACCTTAACTTCCTCATCTGCAGAAGAAGGTACATAAAAGTAGGTACTTCAGAGATCTGTTGTGAGCGCAATGAGATAATATATGCAAAACACTTGGGTCAGTACTTGGCACATGGTAAATATTCAATAAATCTAAGATATTAGTATTAATACTGAAGGTTGCAGAGGATATGATGGTTATGCCCATTGGTGGAGATACTACGAATTGTACAAACCCGTGCAAAGCAGTTTGGCAAGATTAATCTAAGCCACGAAAGAGTTTGTGGTTACTCGAAAAGCCTGCTTTGGGAATTCATCCTAACGAAAGAATTCCACAGAATGCAAAAGTTATATTCATGTTAATCTTATTGTAGTAGTATTTGTAATATCAAAAAACCTCAAATATTTGGCAGGAATTTAGTGGTTAAATTAGGGTAGTTTCCCTAATGGAATTTCATTTGGCAAATTAAAAAGGTAATTATGAATCCTACGTGGTAACATGGAAACATGATTGTCATGTAAAAAATATATAAAATTATGTACTGCAGTTATAATAATATAAAAGTAAGTTTTTATGTGGACATAAATTACAAAGAAATACATGTTCGTGTTACTAGGGTGATAGGATTCAAGGTACATTTTCTTTGTTTTCCAGATTTTTCAATGTGTATGCATGCATAAAATAATGGCTATCACTTATTGAGTAATTACTGTGTGCCCGGCTCTGTGCAGTGTCCTCCAGATACGTTATCTTGTTTTTGATTACAGCTACCCCCATAGGGTAGGTGTTACTTTCCCTGTTAGAGGAAGGAAATATGACTTAGAAAGGATACCTGAAGTTATGGTAATTGTGGAACCAGAATTTGAGTCTACATCTGTCTGACTCCAAAGCCCGTATTAACCACTGCCCGTAAACAGCTTCACTAAATATTTCTTAAAAGAGCACCGAAGAAGAAATTCAAAACAGAAACAGGAAGAGGCTCTCCCATGGTGATGTTTAATTTGGTTCTTAAAATGCTGACACTATTAGAGAGAAAAAGGAAAGAAAATTATACAAAAATAAGAAAGAAAAACTATTGTCATGCCTAAAATGATTCTGAATTCGTATGTTAAAACTATTTCCTCCCCATAGATGGATTTTGGTTTTCCAAATAGATTCTCATTAGGACTATTTTTTAATATATGTTGACTGAAGAAACTAAGGCAGTGTTTTAAATTAGAAGCTGGTTATCATGGGGGAACTATATGAATATATTTAGGTTTGGGGTTTTGTTTTTTGTTTTATGTTGTGTTTTTTGTTTTGGTTTGTTTGTTCAGAGGAACTTATGGCAAACGGATTCTAACATGAGTATCTGAAAACGTGATACAAAGGAGCTTTGAGGGACAGCCAGACAGATAACACTCTCAGGCAGGTGCCTATAGACAACCTTTTCATCTCTCCCTTTTGTTGAGTCTGAGGCTAAATGATTATAGTTCATAAATAGGATCTGTCTTAGGGATTCCATTCCAATTTCTTGCTATAATCTGGCTCCCACGTGGCATTCCCACTATAATTTCAGTATTTCACAGTAGTTAGGGGCCTGGGACCCAGAAGCTCCCAGAAGAGATTACTGCATAGATTTCTCCGAAGGAAAGGGAATTGTTACCCAGTAGGCAATAAAATAAGTCATCATTCACATCCTGAATCAGTGGAAATAGATGGTGTACCTCTAAATAACCTGATTTCTTTTTCAATGATCTCCTAAAAATAGAATATGTTAGATTGATGGGAGGGCGTTCATTCAGTGTTTTCTTCTTAGTATTAGCGGTAAAATGTTTTATTAGGCAGTTCAGGAAATATACACCTTACATGGAGACACAAGAGAAACAAAGTGTACCTTTAAGGGCAATAGAAGGAAAACGCTTTGTGTCTAGGAAACAAAAATAAAGTCAGCACACAATTAGTCAAACAGGCATCATCTGACTTTTTCAAATTGAAAAATACAGTTTCCGAAAGCGCTTCTATATGTAGATTTGGAAGCATTTTACAGATAATTCAAAGGGATCTGGGATGAACAACCTGAAATGGTGTTGTCGTTTTTAATTCTGTATAAATCCTGTCATTAAATTTCTGTGGTTGGGGCGCCTGGGTGGCGCAGTCGGTTAAGCGTCCGACTTCAGCCAGGTCACGATCTCGCGGTCCCCGAGTTCGAGCCCCGCGTCAGGCTCTGGGCTGATGGCTCAGAGCCTGGAGCCTGTTTCCGATTCTGTGTCTCCCTCTCTCTCTGCCCCTCCCCCGTTCATGCTCTGTCTCTCTCTGTCCCAAAAATAAATAAACGTTGAAAAAAAAATTAAAAAAAAAATAAATAAATTTCTGTGGTTGAATCACCAGTTATTGAATACACCTGATCCATGTACCTCCCACTTTGAAGAGAAGTTATTTCTTTATATTTTTTCCTGCTCTTTAGTAAAAGCTGAGGTAAATTCTTCTCAGATTGGTTCTTCTTCCTTCTTGCTAGTCTCTCCCACTCTGCAGCATTGTTCCGCTAACACATTTTCCTCATCGGCGTCACCCTCTCGCTGTTTCCAAGGACCAGTCTTGCTTTGGGAGATACAAGGAGTGAGGCACACAGCCTGTGTGGACGGGGAGCGTGAGGGGTGAGGAGGAAAGAACCAAGGGTCTCTTGAGGGGCAGGGCTTCTACACGGAAGGGCCCAAAAGGGCACTTGGCCATGCACCCCGCAGGCCCTCAGGCAGGCCCCGCTTCCCTGCTCCCCCCTGGCGGCCTCTCTCTGGCCTCCTCACTGTTCAGCAGCTTCGTGGAGAAGAGCTTCCCGTGACCTCGTGTCCGGGGTGTGGCAGCAGTGAGGGTGGCACATGGGACCGAGGTGAGAGCAACAGCCTGGCTGCAAGTGTGAGGAAGGAGGAGCCCTGCAAGCGTTTTATAGGAGTGGTTTTCCCCATTTGGGCTCAAAAGTAAGTGGTAAGTGTTTATTTTGGGAGCTTTAGATACATAGGCCGTCTCCCGTAAACTCCCGCCATCTCAGAGCAAACTTTGTTCTCAGGCCTGGCCAAGAGGAACAGAGTACATTTGGTTAGGTGTTCTAGAACACTTGAAGGATTCACATAATTCCTAAATTATCTAGATGAGGCAACTGAAGGAGAGAGGTGAAGGATTTATTCTGGCCAGACAGCAATCGATGGTGGAACCGCGTGGCAATTACTCAAAACCTTTCAGAGATTCTTCCTTTTTATTGTGTGAGGAAGCGTATGAGAGCCCATCACTCTTCATTGTCAGCTTCTTGTTGTATCTGAAAGTCTTGCCAGGTACCTCTGTTTTTAATCCCCCGATGGCTGGTTTCCACATGTGTGACTCCTCTTTCTCCGATAGACTTGACTGACGTCCACAGGGCTAAATCAGATGACAGATTTCCATGCCAGCTCAGTGGCCGTCAGGGGAGGGGACTGCGGCGGCCAGAGGAGCAGCGCTGACAGGAACTGGCTGGTTTGGGCACCACGGAAACATTTAGTAGATTATCCCCTATTTGCTAAGCAGATGATATGAGGGAGGAATCCAGACCAAGCTGGCCAGCCTGATTCTTTTCCGTCTTGTGCAGAATGACGAAATGATAAAGAGAGAAAAGAATTTTAAAAATCGAAAATTTTTGCAAATGCCGCTCATGTCACCCTTCTGTAAATACCCGTGGGCTAAATCCTGTGGAACAGGCTCAGGCAGCAGTAATTTACCTTTGAAAAATCCACGTTAGGGACACATCTCTGAGACAACTAGGGACTTTGTACCGTGAGGAGGGGGGGGCTGGTGGGGCGAAGGGGACTAAAGCCTGGTAACTAAAAATTATTTTATGTTCACCTGTTCTGTTTCTTAAGTTCCACATATGAGTGGATCATATGCTGTGTCTTTCTCTGACTGACTTATTAAGAAACACAACAGATGAGTATAGAGAAAGGCAGAAAAAATAAGATAAAAACAGAGGGAGGCAAACGATAAGAGACTCGTAAATACAGAGAACAAACTGAGGGCCGCTGGCGGGGTTGTTGGGTGGAGGGATGGGTAAATGGGTGATGGGCATGAAGGAGGGCACTTGTTGGGTGAGCACTGGGTGTTATATGTAAGTGATGGGTCACTAAATTCTCCTGAAACCATTATCACACTGTATGTAAACTACGTTGGATTTAAATTTTTAAAAGTTATTTTAAAAACCCTATAGACAACTGTCTTTACTGGTGCTTGTAGATAATAATATTGATTTCTGAACTTTTTCTTTTTACAACTTATTTTATCTTGGAGGGGTTGAGGAACATATACGCATGGAGGCAAATGATGTATATGGGATTATATGCATTACATGTTACAACTATTTTGATCCTAACATTGATTTCCACAAATAACTTTTCTATTTATTTAAGTGGTCGTGAAAAAAGATAAAGCAAAAACAAATGTGTATTTTCTTTTGGCACGGAGGCCAAATGTGTTAAAGTAACACTTTAATTATAAGTTTACTCAGTAGTTACCTAATTTGTTAGTCACTTCTAGGGTTAGTGTGTGTGCTAGTGAAAGAAAAAATAGGTTGTGAATTCTCCTGTATTTTTGTTTATTGTAATTTTTAAAGTTATAAACTCTTGGTTGATAAAACCTTCTGAGATTTTTTGTGCATTTTTTTAAAGAATTCAGAATATACAACAATACCATATAATTCTGTAATCTCAGATTCCTGAGTCACTGAGACCTATAACTTCATATATGAGGCTAGCAAACAATTTCTTTATCACCATCACCATCACTATAATCATCGAAAAGTCTCTGAGTCACTTATGCGGAATGTTAGCACGTCTTCCTGACTATACAAAGTAAAGTAAGTCAGCTGATATCTTACCTGTAGGAGCTTATGATAAGATAGAAATATTGATATAGATGAGCATAAAGGTCATGCAGACAGCTGGGCACGTTGGACAGAAATGTACAATACGGTCTTAAGAGTACAGATAATACACTGGGTGATTCTAAGTTGGACCAAGGAAAAGAATTACAAGTTATGCTTTTTGTACCATTGCAGAAAGGGCAATGTTTATATCCTTCTTAAGAACATTGTTACATCCAGATAAGCACTGGACAGACTTTGGGCATAGAAATAAGAAAAAGGTAACATTGATAGTACAGTTTCAGGAGAAAGGAAAGCCCTCTACCCACCAGAATACTTCCTCTACCTGATTCCACCTAATATTCTTTTAGTCTGAGGCTTTGTTTTCTATCGGTTGCAAATACCTGCACAAGAAATGTCATAAAATTGCGTGCTGAGTGGATAGAGAGAAAGGTATTTGTATCTTACCAGTTTGAATAGGATATCAGAAGTTATTTTTTGGGTTTGAACAAAATTGTTTTTCGAACTTGGTTTATTTTCCAATCACTAGTGTATAAAACCTTCTAACACCTTTTAGATATTGAGGGTAAAAACACTCTTTTATTTACATTTGAATCTCTAGAAGTACATTAGTCATAGTGTATTTGATATTTGCAAGTACTGCAATTAAGCATTTCACAAACATCTACAAGAGTTCACTTATTAAAGGCTCAGAGCTTTGTTAGTATAAGAATTGTACTTTGAGGGGCACCTGGGTGGCTCAGTCAGTTAAGTATCCGATCCTTGACCTCAGGGTGGTGAGTTCAAGCCCCACATTCAGCTCTGTGCTGGATGTGAAGCCTACTTTAAAAAAAAAAAAAACAGTTCTACTTTGAATAAGTCATGTTCATTATCTTATCTTACCGTACATTTTAAAATCCATTGTCTACAGGGAACATTGTTACTGTATAATTACCATGTTGTCTGGCTGATTTTGCACAGTTAACTTTTTAGCCCACTTTGCTCTCATCTGTGCCTTTAGATAAATGAAGCAGCTTGCTATAAAGATGTAGTAGTATAAGTTAATTGCACCAAAGCATTTTGCGCGAGATAGGACCTCTGGCCTTGGAAAGCTATTAACTGCAGTTGTTTAACTATTTGTGTGATAATTCTATTACTGGCCATTTCTCTATATCTCCTTTGATTTGACTTGATTTTTAAGTTTATTTATTTTGAGAGAAAGAGAGAGAGAGGGAGATTGTGTGTGTGTATGTGTGTGTGTGTGTGTGTGTGTGTGTGTGTGTGTGTGTATGTGTGTGAGCAGGGGAGGAGCAGAGAGAGAGGGAGAGAGGGAATCCCAAGCAGGCTCCATGCTGTCAGTGCAAAGCCCAGTGCAGGGCTCAAACTCACGAACCATGAGATCACGGCCTGAGCCAAAGTCAGATGTTTGACTGAGCCACCCAGGCGCCCCATCCTTTGATTTTAAACTACAATTTTACCAATATGGTAGTGCATTCGTCACAGGCTACTATTGCATACTTGAATTGTGGCTAGGGCATCTGAGGAACTAAATTTTTATCTACTTCTAATTAATATAAATTTAAAAATTGATAACCAGTTCAAGTACTGGGAATATTTTAGGCATGACTGAAACAACTTGGGTATATAAATCTACTTTTTCATCCGTAAACTTTTTGAAATCTAAATACAGATCATTTCTTTTTTTTTTTTTAATGTTTATTTATTTTTGAGACAGAGACAGAGCATGAACGGGGGAGGGTCAGAGAGAGGGAGACACAGAATCTGAAACAGGCTCCAGGCTCTGAGCTGTCAGCACAGAGCCCGACGCGGGGCTTGAACTCACGGACTGCGAGATCATGACCTGAGCCGAAGTCGGCCGCTTAACCGACTGAGCCACCCAGGCGCCCCCAGATCGAGTATTTCTAGTGAAAATTTAGTAGTTGAACTGAGATGTATCGTAAGTGCAAAATACACACTAGATTTCCAAGACTTGATATGGAAAAAAAAAAACAAAAAAAAAAACAACAATGTGAAATATCTTGTTAAAGTTTTAAAATGCTGACCACATGTTGAAATGATAATGTTTTGGATATATTGCATTAAATAATGTATTTCTTTAAAATTAATTTCACCTACTTCTTTTTTTGCTTTTTAAATGTGGCTACTAGAAAATTTTAAATTATATACATGGTCCGCATTCCTGTTGGACAGTGCTGACTTAGAATTAGTGTGCCTCTGCTTTGTGGTTGTTAAAAGGCAATATAGTGGCAATGCTGTGGTCTTAAAAAGTCATCCATAATTTTCATGTTTTTTAATCAGTGTAACTAAACTGTAGTATGCAGTAAGTTAGGAATTTGGAACTAAAAATACCACTTGGGGAGAAGTAAATGACGATTCGACTTTGAGCAGTCACTTACTCGACGTAAGGACTACAATGTACTTTATAAAATGAGTGGCCAGACTGCCAGTCTCCCACGTGGTGAGACAGGGTGGTGGAGACATATACCTGTAAAATAAACAAGATTGCGGTGCATTCGAGGTTGGCTTGTATTAGGTTGACCTGGATGAAATTGCCTATATTCAATTGGTTCTGACGGAACAAAAACAGTTTCACGTGGTGAAGCCAAAAATATCAAGAACCCCAAAAAATGTCAACACTCTTCCCCCAGTAATTGCACCCCTGGGCCACTCTCATAGGTAAATACACACATGAACGCACATACCTATGCATGCATGTGTGTTTGTATATCCTGTGGAATTCTAGATGTACGTGTGACCAGTGGTAGCCAGCCTCCAAGATGCCCCTCAGAGGTCGTGTGTCCTGATATTCACACCCTTGTATAGTTCTCTCCTGCTGGGAGATTGGTCTGTGGGATTGGTCTGTGTGACCACTGGAATATGGTGGAAGTGATGGTAGGTTACTTCTGAGAATAGCTGACCAGCTATAAAAGATTGAGGCTTCTTTCTAGGGTCTCTCTCCCTTTCTGTATCCCATTACTTGTTCCGGGGAAAGCCAGCTGCTGTGACCCAAAGA